ATATATATATATATATATATAACACAAATAAAATTAATACAAATTATTTTTACTATTTTAATTTATTTCAGTTTACTGTAAATGGGAGTGTTGTCGCAAGTGTTACGTTACTATTTACGGGGGTTGAAGCGCCTGTTACGGGGGGAGAAGGGGTACTCAAAATTTGCGTTACGTAATTTACGGCCGGCCCCAGGTGAGCTTTCTAGCTTCCAACCCAAAATTTAACTCACTATAGCCTTTTCGACATGCAATGAACTGCAAGAAATTATTCGTTTATGTTGCCTGCAGGTCTTTTGCAAAATCTGTATTCACCGTACTTACTTTCATTTATGTTTCAAGACACGGTAGCTTGCAAAGGAAAATGAAAATGGGACGTTGTGGCGCGAGAAGCAAATACTCACCACCGCCACTCGGGGAGCCATCTCGCGCTGTTGCTTGGCCCTGGACTAGCCTTACACAGCGAGCGTTCAGTAATTCTTCTCTCGCTGCTTGACTCATTCACTTCACACACTGCTGTGATTCCACAGAGTCCGTATTACGTTCTACATTATCTTTGATATGGTCAATGCCGCACCCCCTCCACACCCATCGAGATTTAGAAGCGGGCACCCATCTCTCTCTGGAGTGCTGGGGAGGGGGATGACTCCGTCGTTGTTAATTTCCTAGAGGACGTTGAATGCCACGCGCGCTTTTCAAACAAGGTTGGAATTGAGCTGCATCTATTGCGTTATCAATGGAAGCGGCGTTATCTCGCGTACACACTTAGCGCATGTTTTGCGCATCGTTCGTTGGCGTCAGTTAGAACACAATTGTGCTCTTGTGGATTCACGCAACTTTGAAGAGAAAATGAAGTATAATCACTCTGACTGCAGATTCTGAAAGTTCATTGAAAATTGTAGTTTGAAAGTTATGAGTATTTAAATTATTTCTTATCGAGCGATTTAAATTGACGCTCATAAATCCACAAGCGATGCATTTTCTAACTGCCTCACTCTGGAATCAAGTACTGGAAAACTTTACAGGTAGGTAATAGATTTATTGCAGATTCCCCATTTCGATCAGGTTTTTGTCCAGATTCCCTGATACATTCAGCCAATGCTGAGATGGCCCCTTGTTTTGTTTCTCGACGTAAATGGAGCTTCACTATGCGCACGTTTTGTTGATCTCTCATTTTGCTTGTAATTGTAGGAATAGAGGTAAGGGCGAGTTACTTTTTTGTTAGCAATGTCGAAAGTAAAATCTTCAGTACGTTTAGCGTTGCAATAAGTTTTCTATGACTCGAAAACAAAAATGTCTACGTTTTCAAATGTCGCTTATCTCGTGCTTTTTAAAAAATTTAGCTTTTACTCACCTTTCAACTATTTATAGTTAAAATGATGGAAAGGGATTCTGGAACTCAAGAAAACTTGCACAGATTATCTTCTCCCCCGTACGTCACATACAGTTTTTACTGTTTTTGACTTAATAAATCTAAATCTAGATAGACAATGATTTATTTTGATGCTAGTATGTAATATGCAAGTCAAATACATTTGCATATTGGCTGCATATTATTAGTATGCATTAAATATGTTAAATACAATGAACACATGTTAAGTGCATCAAAGATGTGTGACAACCTCCTACTAACCTGAAATAATTCTCCAAAGCAGGCATTCATAAATACTCTCAAGAAAAATTTAAACAATCCCTAATATGTTCTGCTGCAAAAAATACAATCAATGTAACAATGATAAAGTGTACATAAGCAAAGTAAGTGTATACTACATTTAAATACTAGAGTTCATAGAAACATTTCAATGTAACCACATAGCATGACCCTGTATATGTAAACATCTGATTTTACGTTATATTTAGGATATAGTGTGTAACTTGTAATTATTAATTTTAATTTATCTGATTGTACCTTTTAATTATCATGAAGTATGTATCATTAATTTTATCGTTTGATTCAATAATTTATCACCATTTCCACAAAATTCTGGAGAGAGAGTAACCTATGATTTGAGAAGCCTTGCTCTACACAAGCATTATTCCTTGATTTATTGTAGTATTAATCTTTGCTTTTGTTGGTATAGTTTGACTTATAATTGTGCTCTTCGACTTTGCTACCATGAATTAACAAATGGTGACCAGATTTCCATTTCAATAAAATTGCTAACATTCTTCCATAAATAAACCAGCTTCTTTTTCCTAATTAAAAACAAAGAAAGATGAAGAATTGTTTTGTATTCTCTAGATTATCACTGTTTGTAATATTCTCAAGAACGTATATATTTTTGATACATTTCTTCATCATTTCATAATTGAACAAAGTTTAAAAATTGAAACAATGTCATCAATTTTTTTTTCAAAGGCAAAATTTACGATTTTACTTTTGACATATACTGTAAATGTTTACTTTTTTCTTTCCCAGTGCTTTTTTGTAACATGCCTAAAACCTAAATAGTACATTTTCTACAATAAGACAGAAAAATATATACACAAAATATTAGGGTAAATCACAGACAAAATTTTGCCTACATTGGTGTCAAATTGTGTATTCTAATATTTGTATTGAATCATAAGTTGCTGTATCATGAGGCTGAAGACACCTGAATATACTGCATAAATTCTTTGCCAAAAAAATTAGAATTATTTATACAAAAATGTATGACAAACATACATACACTGTTTACAGTTATGACTTTAGACTTCTAATTTTGTGATGTACAATTTATCAAGAACTAATAAAATTTTAATTATTTCACACGTTTTCATCAATTTACTTACGTTTATTAAAAATAATCTGCAGATGATGATGATGATGATGATGATGATAATAATAATAATAATAATAATAATAATAAATATCTTATGTGGCAAGACTTAGGCAATCAGGCTTGCTCTAATCACCCAATACAAAATTTATGGATGAAAATTTGACATACGAATTTTGCAATATTTATGTAGTGTATTATCAACATAATTTACATTCTATTTTTATTACTGAGTATAGTTAAACAGACGGCTCTAACATGTCGTAATTTTACATTTTCATTTATATTAAAAATAAGTGTTGCAATATCTGAAATATCTTCCAAAATTAAACAGGTCACGAGACAAAATTACAAAAGCCACTGAATGGGCACCACAGATTCCCAAACTGTACTAATAAATGAGACAAGTCACTGAATAATTTACTGTGAAAAATTATCACATTATCTGTTATCATTGGTACAGTATTACCAAAACTAGATCAACTATTCTGTTCAACATCACCCAAACATTTTTACTACTTTTCGAGATCTCAATTAATTTTTTTTTAATCACTCCAATATATTCTTATTGAAAATATTCTTCTACACATCTGAAAAATATTATAGCTCTGATTGTTCTAAAGAGAGTACTTAATAAAATGAAAAAAGAGTAATGATAATTTTTTATTCAATTATGATATTCTTACGACAGCTATGACTAATAACAGTATATCAGGAATAGTATTGACAAAACGCAAGAAGGAAGAAGTAAGAGTTAATTTTAGGGTCACAAAAATATAGTAAACAGAAAGAAATATAGGAAAAAAATTTATTTAGCATTGTCTCATATACAGTGAAATTATACTTAGCCACTAGTACAGACATTCAAGTGATTCAAAATGTAATTTTCTTTAAACATTAATGTCATTCTGCCAATCAACCACTTTTCGGTTCCACCACACATACTCTCCTCGAGGAGATTGTACATAGGGGGCAAGTAAGGCACAAAACAAAGGAGCATCAGCACCTGCCAAAAAACAGATAAATCATACTGCAAGTTTCTATAGTTTCTTTAAATAATTCACAGTTGACTAAAAACAAATGTCCTTAACAAATTAAATCACTATTGGCAAATTACTGACCAGATGCCATCTATTATTTGGATTAATCAATTTCAGAATAACATGTCAGAGAATGTTATTCAAAATGTACGAAGGGAGACCCAAAAACATCCGGACTGAAAGCGTGCTGCCTTTCATGGTCGTATTAGAGACTTCTTCAGATAGATGAGATTAATAGTCCTTCATGAAACCACTGTCCACGCGGATGCACTTTGTATGCTACTGTTTGTTTCGCTCTTATTGTTCTGGTGTTCCGCCTGCACAATCGGTATGGCAGATTTAAAAGAACTAAGAATGTGTTTGAAATTTTGTTTCCTGATACAAAAATCGGCAACAGAAGCTTACCAAATGCTTCAAAGCAAGCCTACCCAATGCTTTTAAGGAGGATGCTATGAGCCACACACAAGTTTTGAGTGCTTTGGTCACTTTAAACAAGGTGAGATGAGTGTTGAAGACCATGCTCATTCTAGGCACCTTCAACATCTTGAAATGATGTAATCGTTCAGAAAATCCGCCAAAAAATCAACGAGTATTTGTTTCACTATCGATGAAATTTTAGAAGACAGGAGTGAGTTGGAGCTCATGCCAGAGAATTTTGACTGAGTATTGATGTTGACGCTACATTTGTTCCTTACTTTCTTACAGACGTCAAAAAAACATTCAATTTCAATTTGAGCCAGGACTTGAAAAACAGGTGGTCTGTCGTTCCCCCCGTATTCCCCAGACCTAGCTGGTTGGGAATTTTCTGTTCTATTACATGAAAAAAATATGTAAATGGGAAGCATTTTGATGATGTGGAAACAATGAAAACAGCTTTGCAAAAGGCATTGGATGATATCGAAGGTGAAGAGTTCAAGAGGTGCTTCAAATAATGGGAAAAAGTACTTCACAAGTATATTGCATCTAATGGAGAGTACTTTGAAAGTGACTGAAGGTATTTTGTAAAAAAGATTATAAATAATTGTTTTATAACGACAATCTATTTTCTGTTGGGTCCCCCTTTGTATATGAAATAATACTCTTATTCCATGGTGTCAACATAAAATTGTAATAACTGCTGTCGCTTAGCATCTCAGAGACCTTAAAAATAAAATTTCTTTCAATTTAAACCAAAATTCAGATATCAGTCAGTACCTTCCTCTGGGGTCAAGTTTCCTTTTTGACTTGACATGTCAGTTTTCACATATCCTGGATGAACTGCATTCACCACAAGATCCTCACGGGTGTCCTTGTCGAATGCCCTTTGTTGCAGAAAGGATAAGGCACTTACTCCTACTTTGGAGACAGAATAGGCGCTATTAGGCCAACCTTGCTCACTGTGGTTTCCATTTTTTGCAGCCCTGTAAGTGGTGTACAGTTGATTACACAATAATTTAATATGTTTGATAATTAATCCTTATTTATGGAATAGACACAATCAATGGTGCTGAAGGGGCAGTGACTTAATCGGTATTCAAGTAAATATTTAACCTTTCAGCAAACACCTTGACAAGCACCAACAAATTTAAATCTAAATTATGTTTACTTAACAGAGAACCTGTGGAAGTTACATTTACAACAAACCACAAGATATTCTTTAAAAATTTATTAAAATAATATATTTGTTATAAATGTAGTGTGCACAAATAATTCCTTATGAACATAGTGTACTGAGGTATTACATAAATTAATTTAACTGAAATAATGTATGCTAGTATTAGTGGCTCAACCTAAGAACAGGTGGCTGTTGTCATCCATTCTTCCAAATTTAATTTCAAAGAGAACAAATACTAATAAAAATATTAAAAAAGTACCTTCTTAAGGAAAGATAGTAAAAGGTGAAATGAAGAGTGGATTTTCAAACACCACATATTCAGGCACAAACTGTCTCTACTTTCTTTCAACAAAGAGACATCTACTAAAATAATTTCTTCAGTACAATGAAACAATGATTCAAAATCCTCCATTCCATTTTGTTCTTTAATTTCATTAACTTAAATCTTTTTGTAGCAATTTCTAAAGAAAATGCTCTGCTTACTGAACAAAATCATTCATCAATGTAGTCAGCTCCTCCTCTGTGAGTGAAGGGTTGGCCAACTTCTGCTTTAAGCTTTCCCCAGGAATCCGACTGAGGTGACCTGCACTGCTGGACACGTTCACAACTCTAGCATGTGGTTTAAGAAGTGGAAAGAGTATATGGCACGTTTCCAGAAGGCTAGTGTAATTGACATGAATAGTCTGTTCAGCTTGCACACTGAAAGGTTCAGTAGAAGCCATCTAATGAAATAAAAAATACATTACAATACACGAGAATAAGGATTTTCGTTAACTCTCCTAAAAAACAAAAACAATGTTTAACTTTAAATTTAATTTTTCATGCAATAAAATATGAAAGTCTTACATGATACATCATGCTGTTTAATCTCTTAATATTTACATGAAGCTGACAATAACAGTTCTATTATTACAACATATTCAGAAAAGGCTTATCTGTTTAGTATGACAAAACAATTTAAAGTGTACCTGAAATAACACTACCTTAAAAGCAATTGCAGCATTATTGACTAAAATATCTAATCCGCCATAGTTATCTTCAAGATGTTTTTTAAAAGTATTCAGACTTTGTTGATCACAGATGTCTAATTGATGAAATTTTGGATCTAAGCCTTCCTGTAATGAAAGTAATTAGGTTTTTAAATAAAATAACACTTCTTTTTCTCTCTCCACTTTTGAATATATTTATGTTATTTTTATTACACTACAAATGATTCAAAGCATATAAATAAATAGATGATTTATAGTTAAATGTATTGCATTACAAATAAACATTTAATATATCAAAAAAATATGCTAAGTATTTATTATAAAAATATGGTCTTACTTTCTTCAACTCTTCAACTGCTCTAGATCCACGGTCAACATCTCGCGCAGTTAAATAAACTACTCCATCAAATTTCTGGCATAATCCTTTAACAATTTCAAAGCCTATGCCTTTATTTCCTCCAGTGACCTGTTCAAATTGTATTTTATAAATAGCAGGATGTAGAATTGGAATTGTTGAAACATATCATATCTTTCAAACATAACATTATTGGTTAACATTTAATGAAACTATCTCAAATGTAAATTTTTAAAATTGTAAACATTTTTTACTCCAAGAAAGACTAAGGAAATGAAAGCCTTTTTTCAATGAAGGAAGAAGCCAGTGTTTCTTTCTTACTTGTTCACCATAACTGTCGGATCAAATTTAAAAGTCATTACATTTTCTTCTTCTGCCAATAGGTTGCCAAAGATAATGTGGTAAATTGAAAACAATTTGAAATAACTTCACTTAATTCAAGAGTATATTATTCAAATCTTGGTTTCAGGTTCTTGGTACTGTTTTGAACAACCAATCCACTTACAAATCCAGTATAAAAACGTCTGATCATTTATATATACAGTATTACCAAGAGTCATTTTTGAGTTCATTCCAGAAAACAATTTATTGTTTTGACTTTATTGCCTTTTAGTCCTAATTTATCATGCAACATGAAGTGAAACTTGCGGGTGCATACTTGCGCTATATAATGAACAATGAATAACAAGCTCGTAATGCAGATTGGAGGATCTCGCTCGCAAGGGTAGCTTTAATTCGCATTTTCATTCAATTTTATCTACCAGCATTTTTAAAAAAAAATTCTCTTGCAATCTACAGTATTCAAAATTGCAGTCCCAAGACGCAAATGCACTGAAAAGCCTCTACTATTTAAGGAAGTTACGGTGTACCAGATTGATCCAGATTTTCCGCTTTATATGAATTTAATAAATTGTGATAATTTTGTAAAAGAAATATGGTTTGGCACAATACGAAGTAATGGGAAAATAGTGAAAAATGAAGTGCAATAATGAAACCACTTATGCAAGAATGACTTGCTTTCAGTGCAAGAAACGAAATAAATTTCACTGGGCTTAGGGTAAACGTCAAATGTCAAAAATTCGTTAATCCTCACACAGCTGATGTATAGAAATAACTTATTTTTAAATTACTTACTACAGCAACTTTTTGAGACATTCTGCGGCCGGAACGACAGGACAGCAATTTACACTCAGCCGGCCACCGGCTTTTTGTTCCACAAAAGAAACAAATAGCAGTAGGCGCATATACTTCCCGCCACGTCTTTTCGGTGGCATAAAAATGTGTTTTTGTTCCCTTTTTTAAACTTGTACCTTTTAAATTTTTACTTCATTTAAAACATTCGATGAAGTCCTCGAAGAGATTGTCATTGTAGACAAAGTAATTATTTTAAACGGAAAATATTGGCAATCGTTTATAGCAAATATTTTAACGACTAATTAGATTTGGCGCATTATTTAGCTAAGTGGTCTGACATAAGAATTTTGCAATATAGACAGTTAAATAGTGCCACCTCGCCGCGCGATAGCACGGATACCAGCCCTACACGGAATATCTTTTAGTATGTTAAATGTGATTGTTTCATGTAGATGATCATGACGCACAAAAACGTTTCGTTAATCTCGGGAAGGCAATGAGCGCATCTCATCCCTTATTTACCTCAAATATTCACAGCATTCAGTAGTGAATTAAAGGTTTAGATCTGGGACTCCCAATCTTTATCTTTCATTTCAAAATAAGTTTTTAAAATAATGATTTATTCCATCAAACTCCCCACATTTTTCTCTACAACACAACCCACAATGTAAAAACACAAATAATATGTATCACACATATATTACATGTACTCACAAATGACTTTAAAATAATTACACAAAGAATATGAAAACAAATTTTGAAAAAAATAATAGAATTATGCTATTATTTTTGTATGATTATCTTTTTGAATTTTACAAATAATAAGAAAACAAACAGAATTACACATTCTATTTCCCCAAAAGTTCAATTTTCATTCACATATATGATATGAAATATCAAAGGAAGAGAAAATTTATAATTCACTATTACATTAAAACAAATAATAAAAAACAGAAAAAAAATATCAACTTTGTGGATTGTTTTTGCAATTAAGAGGTTCTTAATATAGAGTATACCAAGCGATCAGTCACTGATGCATATTCTGCTCTGTCCCTCCACATCACAGATCCCCTAAAATATAATTGTCCCCTAGAGGGCTGATACCGATCCTGTTGGGAATCCCTGGTAAACCATAAGGTCAAAATACAGAATTATTCCTATCTTGAATGATTGTGTAGGTAAGCTAAGACAAGTTATTATTCTGAAAGATTGTAATGAGATCAAAGTAGAGTTTAGCACTCAACACAAAGTTTTTCAGTTCTAAATTATGCAATTTATGTGGCTGTTATAACATTTCTGAACAAAGTATCATGGATAATCCACCCAAAGTTATGCTAAGTTTCACAGATTATTAATATTTCCAGACATTTGCCAATTTCAGAGACAGACTTTGTGGATGACTTAACAAAAAATACATATTGGCACCATTTAGTCAAATATCCAAATATCTAACAGTATATGTCAAGTCAATTTGCTCTTGGAACCTTTGTATTCTAATCAACATTACACCAGTCTTTTGAAACTCCCATATCTGATATTTATAATTATTATTCAGATTTGTGCTTTTTTGAATGTGAACAGCCAAGTTTTAGTTAACAGGTTTGCCAGTACTGAAACCCCAAAATGATATAAATTATTTTTCTTTTAGTTTATTTAGTGGCCCTGAATCTTGGAAAAAATGTCTTGCTCTATGCCTATATTTTTAAAAGTCGTATTAAATATTACTGCTTTAGCCTCTGGTCTATTAGTTTTTTGTTTTTTATTTACTTTACATTAATGTTAATTTTATACTAATTTTAATATTGCATTCAATGCAAGATTATGAAAATTGGTTTGAAAATAAATTTGTTTGTATAAAATTACAATACAAATTGGGAATGAAAATGCTGAAAAACATGAAAATAAACTGCATGTAAATAAAAACAAAAATATTAGTATCTTTTTTTTCATAAATAGAAAAGGACTGGACATTTATTGAAATAGACATTATTGTGGAAACATTATTTGGAAAGTATTATATACAAAAATTAAATGTTTTTAACATCTTGTACATTTCTAATTGCTTATTCAAGTCCTTTCAAGAAAGAAACAGTTTTTTAAGAGCTCTTGGCAATAACGTGGGATTATGTCATATTGTACTACATATTAATTAGTTTTTTTAGTGTTCGGTTGACACATATCTAATCAGGAAAATCTAGTTATTAGTTTGTTTCCTTATTCTTTTCATTGTTCTCACAGCAGCACTAAAAATTATAATTACTCTTGAAAAATTGTTGAATGAATTTCATACAAACATTTTGCATTAAAATTAATGCAGTTTTTAATCAAGATAACTTATTTATGTAATTTCTTTAAATTCAAAGGTCCTGCTATCTATTAGCCATATAATGAGGGTTAGGCAGTAGTTATTTTTTCTTGTAAGTTAATACAAATAAATAATTAAGGTAGCTGTTATTCATTTTTCTGTTATGTTCTCTGAATGAATGATGTGCTTGCTATAGATACAAGTTAATCAAGATGCTCCTCATCTTAAAAATTTGTGAATTATACAGAGAAATAGGAGTAAAACTAACGGTGCTACAGAATGGCTTTCTTGTTAGTTATCTAATATCTTTGATATGAGCTTTTTGATTGTGCCCCACCTCTTTCTAGCTGTCATTTATTGAAAAATTTGGAGCAGTTTTTAAGAAAACGCTGTTTAAACATTTCTGTAAATCTTTGTTTGCACCTCATGGACACCAAACCAACACCTGTAAATAAAATGTTTTGATTCATTAAGTAAAATTCTTCAGGCTGGTCAAACTGCATTCTTCTTTGTTTCACTGTCAATGAATTCAACAGCTCTATCGAATATATGCAAATAAACTTTTTGTTTTCATATTGTAAGAAGCAGCATTAATTATTTGTTCTTGTCAGAAAATGTTACTTGCACCATTTATTTCACAGGTAAATTCATAAGTGAAGCATTGTACATTAGGATGTAAATGAGAGAAAATCCTCAGGCAATGACATCATTAACTAGTTTGACAATATTAAATAGAACTGTGGATTTTAAATTGGAAATTTGTCTTTCTTTAATTAATTTCAATTTAAAAAAATATTTTTTCTTTTGCATTTACGAAATGTGCTATTTGAATTTGACAAGCAATCTAAATATTGGTTACATCATAACCAAATAAACACATCTACGTATCTATGCTAGATACCTAAATAATGTCTCTACCCCATAGAGAACAGACTTTTCTCAACGTGTTATCTATACACGTTACCCTCTCTGCTAAGGGACACTTACAGTTTTGTAGCATTTATGTACTTTGTAATTGCACTACTGCTTGGGAAATATCATGCATCATACAGACTTAAAAAATTAAAGTTTGCAGAATCCAGTAAGGGGAAATATCAGACAAATGCAACAGACAACACATCATTGCTCACACTGGCATTGTTCATAACTCTGAACTGTGGTTGAGGCCCTTGAAACAGGGATTTCCTGTTCCTAAAGAAGCCCAAGTTAAATTTTCTATTACTGTAATACATACAACAACAAACAATTCTTGAATGTGTTCTGTTACATTTTTGGAGGTCCCCATTCTGCAGTATGGGTTATAGAAAATTTTCAGAATTGGGTACTAGTATGAAGCTTTTTTCACTTTTAAAACAAAGCATTTTTTAACAAAGTACGCATGGTTTGCATGGATTGGATCAACATAGTTTGTATTAATGTTAAAAATACAACCTTGAGTGCAAAATACTTTTGATGCCCAGAAAATAATTTTCTAGATTCAAAGCCATTCCAAAGGAAGAAGGAAACATCTGATATATTTATGTAAATCATTTATTTTACAATATTTACACATTAGTAAAATAATCATACACAACAAAACTAATATTACAAATAGGCCAATAAAAATATAAAAAATATCATTATATGATCTATTACAAACTATTAGCAATGCAATAGTTTGTTTCTTTCAATCTTACTTTTCTGTTCACATGTACCACAAAACATTACATAATTTACTACTTAAAATAAGTCTGAAGTTATCAAAGACATTACTGGGTAAGGGCAGGTGCCTTGTATGTACACATTTCCAGATCTGTACATCTATATCAAACTGATTTTATAAAGTAAGAATGACTTTTATAAAGCTGCAAGTATGTTTGACTGGACAGAAAAAATTGATTCATTGAAAAGCAAAAGTGTAAGATGCCATCTCAATAAATTAAATTTCATAAATATATTACTTTACAACAGGAGAGGTTAAGTCACCAAGTCTAGTGATGCCACAGTCTCCTTTAATCGTTTTTTTCTGAATATCATTTTCAAGTACTTTGCAATATTTTGCATATAAACACACGATACTGACAATTTTCATCCATCCAAGGCTTACATCTAATACATAAAATAAATTTTGCATTATAGTGAAAAATGATTATACATCTGTATATACACATAGGAACGTTTCTAATGTTACAAATTCAGTCTTACACTAGTAAACTCGTCGAAGAGTAATCGATTTGGTAGTCTTTGCAAAAAGGTTTGTGTGTTGTCCAGATATGTTAAAATACTTTGTACAACTTACATAACATGTTAAATATACAATATTTAATAACTGTATAATATATTATATTTAACAATTACAGATTCCTTTGCAGTAGATAAGTACAATAATTACTTCGTCTATGAACTAGAATGAAAAATACATCTTCAATTACATATCAAGAACTAATATAACAAATCATGTTTTAATGTGTCAAAATTACTGGACAGAACAAAAATAGTAATAGTACAGAAGTGTAAAACAATAATTTACTCACGAATGAAAATGTTTAGCATTCCAGAGGATGATTGGAGCCAAGGGAGTTAATTTTCACAAGCGACTCAAATCTGTTTACTCTCATGGGTTAAATTATTTTATTCATTACCACTATTTAAACAAAATCTAGAAAGTTAAACTGAAATAACTAAATATTGCATGTAGCATTCAAATAGAAGAAGGCTCATTATTTTAACGAGATTGGCATATTTTCAAGCTCACAAATTATATAAGTAGTGATATCCATTTTTATATTTCCATGTATCTTAATTTTTATTCTACAATATAATTTTTATTTATTTCGGAATAATAACATTGTTTATTTTGCCAAAAACAATATCCATTTTATGACAGTTTACATTGTTCTAATGGATGAAATATAAGATTATCATTACAACTGGAACTACACATTCCTTTAATATCTCAAGAAATGTTTGAAAACTTATATTTTAATAACCAAACAAAAATTGAAACATATATCCACTTCAGAAACCCATACATTGATTTAAAAAGAAATTTTGACACATAACAGGTATACTCAAGACAAGATTACTAAGAATGTCCGCATTTAAAGAGAATAATAAATTTTGTGGTATGCACATTTCAAAATCTAATACTTACATATTCTAACATATAAAAATTAACTATTTTTACATTTAGAGTTCTTAACCTTTAGATTTGTTTAAAAAAAGAAAAAAAAAGTTGACACATTTGTATCAAATTACTACTCAGTAGTGTTTTTTAACTCAAACTTACATTAATTGAAGTCTGAATTTTCTTTATAAAGGGGAAAAAATAATCTTTACCTCTTAGCAGTCTATGAAATGTTCATTCAAGTGCATACATTTTCCAAGATAAGGATGTGATGAATGAATTTTGAAAGGGTTAGTATTTGTTGTGTCTTAAGAACTAAAGTTTTTACTGCACATATCACAGTAAATTATCACAAAGTACTGGAAGACAATGAATTAATTGTGAATATTTCAGTCGAAACAGCAGATTCATTAGAAAATGCAAATTTTAAATGAAGGCACTAAATTCATTATCTATGTTACATAAAGTAGGATACATTTACTTCATTGCAAATTACATTCAATGTTTTATTATAGATCTATGTACTATACTTCTCTGGGGCATAATATCACAATAAAATTCTTAAGTTGCATAATGAATTTACTGGGTACATTTGAAAAATAACAAAACTTCTTTGGTCCCAAATAGAAACACTGTATACAAAAAGAGGAATGTTGATATGATGTGTATGTTTCAATTAAAAACCAATAATTATTTCATGCGAATAAAATTTAATCCACCCTACCGGTCTCCTATATTCCTTTACACATTTATATAGTCCGTTCCATAAATTTAGATCATGAAACTCTAGGCAATTTCACAACTACTAAATGTTAAATAAATGTGCTGTTATGCAACCACAGACATTTTTTATTTTGGGTAGTTTGGGCGAGTAAAGGTAATTGGAAAAAAAAAGGAGCTAGGTCAAATTCAGTGCCTTAATCAGGAATAAACTTCAAAGAACAACAAAGGATTGTAGAGAAAAATGAGTGCATTTTGTTGAATTAACCGTGAAGAATCAAATGTGAAAAAGCCATATTTTTGTCATCATCAATTGACAGTTCTTTTATATGTAATAAACACAATGAATTAGCAAAAGCGTTTCCTTTTTAGAAAACCCTTAATCCCTCTGTCAAGAATAGAATACAATGGTCAAAACTGATCTTATAGATTTGTTTGAATGAATTAATGAAATACCTGAAAATAAGTAATTTTTCACATTCGATATTTTGTATTTCACATGATGATATAGCCTATGAAACTTCACTGACACGAAAATATTTCCCAAATTTTGCAAGTTTTCTTGTCTACCATATAGCAAATATAAATAGTTCTGCACCCAACTCTGACAGAGAAAAAAATCAGTAAATATGAAGGAGCATTGTGAAGGATGTGATCCAACTCCTCCATGGAAGGAAGAAAGAAAGAAAGAAACAATTTGCAATGCAGACTAAGACAAATTAAACTCAAGGCAGGTCAGGTATATCACAGTAATGGCAAAGTGTAACAAGGAATCGGCCAAAAATTAATAAATTAATTACCATGACAAAGGGAAGTTTGGAGACTAAATACTTAGGCAGGAGCGGAGTCCCTAAAACATCTCTTACTTATTTCATGATGTAAAGTTACATTATTATTGAGAGAAAACAAATACTATTTTTTAACTACATTATTTCTTGTTTATTTTGAGCTCAATGATGGTGGGAAGAAGTGAAAAAAGCATTGAAAAAAGATTATGTCATGTTGTACAGTATGTCATGCTTCTGTGATAAAAATGTCAGTATTTCTACTTAGCACCACACTCAGTAAAGGAAGCGGTGACCACACGATTTGTAACTAATGAATAACTGAAGATTTGTCAACATTCCAAAGTTATCGTCATCTTAGTGCAGGGACACCTTTGACTGTGGCAACTGCCATTCTACCTCAAAAGAGGAATACAAAAATAAGTAAAGAAATTTGAGACAGATATTCAATATTGATACTTAAGCATTATTTAACATGAACATTGTAATTATAAAATATATTCCAAATTATGCATTTTAAAAAACATTACAGGAAGGCACAACCTAGAATTAGAAATAAAACTGCAACAGGAAATATGGCATATATTGACATCCGAGGATAACAACTAGAAATTAATACAGATGCATCACCATCTTCATGTTCAATTCCATCATGAGTGGGCACTTCTACAATCACAATTTCACTTGACCAGAAAGTAATTGGGAACTTGCATTCTGTTTGGTTAACACAACCTCGAGTAAAATTTGTGTGTTGATATGTCATTTTGTATATATCAAAATGGGCATGAATAGGATTATCATTAAAATCATTATCACTGTAAAAAATAAAGTAATAATACCCATCTGATTCAATATGCAAAGTTCCCACTTTATGATGACTCAGAGAATAATTACTATAGCAGTATGGTGAGGCATTTAAGGATTTTGAAAATAATTGTTGATCATTATAGCACGTCCTAAGGCTGTCTTCAAAACTAGAATCAGACGATTCAATTTGTGTAACATTAGCATTACCACCATGACCTACAGCAGCATCCCACTTGTGGCCATCAACACGTGAAGTTTTTCTTTTTGGTCTAATGTTTTCAAGAGAGTCATTGTCATCATCAACATTGATTTCCAAATTTTGCAACTCTTTTGCAAGAAGATTTGTTGCTCTTTTGTGTTTCATTGCTTTTGAATCATGTTCTTCATTTGTAACATCTGAAATTCTTTGGTCGTTTTTCTTGGTAGTATTTCTTACATGTGAAAGATTGGGCAGTGAACCAGGTTTAGTGTGATTCTTAGTTTTTTGCCTTTCTTCCAGGGACTCATTTTCAGAATTTTCTAAGCTGTCTCTATTAGTTGGAAAATTTGAAATGAATTCTTTAAGTTCTCGAGTCAATTCTTCAAGGGCATCATTCTCTCCATTTTCAATGTTCTTGTCGTTTGTAACTTTTAAAGTATGGTTAACTAAATCTCTCTTCTCAGTCGCTGGAGTCACATGAGAAAATATTTTTTCATTTTTAATTTGGCTAGTCCTAGTTTCCCAGGAATTTCCCACATTTGACTTTATTTTGTTTCCCTTTTGGTATTTTACATTTTTATATTGTGTTTCCATTGACTGACAGGTTTTTAAATTTTTCTCACCTTTGACAACAAGAATTCCAGCACCATCATACCTGTTGCATTAAACAAAAGGTTTTAATTTCAAAATTTTAAGAGTTACAACAAAATAAACACCATCTCAATTGTTTTTACCTAGAACAGGCGAGCAAAGATATATTAGACCCGGCAAGTAAATAAAAACCCCAGTATTCCACAGTGTCATCTGGTAAAATCATACTTTTTTTAAGTTGGATATGTTTCTTTTGATGGCTGAGAGGTGGCATTTGCCTCAGTTGAAATGCATGGAAAGTAGAATTCATTCTTAAGATTTGCTCCTGCAACATAATGCATATTGACAAAATTACATGTAACAACTATTTCTAACTATTTTAAAGAGTAAACACATACCTGGCAAAATACTGTAGATATTCCCTCTACAGCCTCTAAAACATCAGACTCTGCTACGGAATAAATTACATCAGCATACATACTATGTCTCAAGTACAGAGGAATAACAAGCAAAACTGTTGGCAGAACAGCTGTGAGAAGACAGAATGTAACAACTCGGCGAGCGCCGTGCATTTCTCCCATTTCTGTAAAATAAAGAAATTAAGTAAATGTAATGCACTTCAAATATGGTGAGTTAATTCTCTCATAAAAAAAATACCTGCTAGAAGATCCTTCAGAGAACCTGATCATGACATGCGCTATCAGGCCTTGCTTCGTTAAACACTGTTTACTCAGGAATCTAATTCACACATTCAATACAGGTCTTTCCATCAACAGGTTCCAAACAATGTGACACCTCTCTGTACGACTTGAAACTGGCAAACGTTGCCCTCCAGGCTTTTGACGTTTTCAGACAATAAAGACACTATGTGAATACGATCCAAGGAAACATACTAAATCTGCACTAAGCCAACCTCAATCGTGTAATATTACAGAATTACAACTAAAGCGACGTAGATCATTCACAATAGAAATAATATTGATACAATTGTGAAATAATTAAAGGCGAAAGAAGACGAGAAAAGTAAGTTACGAATTCTTCCAAACGAATGCTCTTATAAACATCAGCTAATATTGGCAACTTAAATAGAAATTACAATTCTGTAGGAAGTAGGTGTAAATTATTAAACAATCATGACATCCAACACATTACAATGGTGCCACAACATACGTGCTGAGGAGATTGAGTTGTTTTGACAGAAGCAAACACCTATTTTCAAAGTAATTCACAATGGAGTTAAAGAATGAAATACAATTTATTGGAAAATATTAGCTTTTGGGCATAATGTTTTGAACAATTTATTTTGATTTTCGAGTTGTAATTAGACAATTCTGCATTGATTGTATGGATGATAAAATGGTTTGTTGCCCGTCTGTCATTTGTGGTTTCCCGTTTGTCATTTTTTTTTCTACGTCATCTGTGCCCTCGTGCTCCTGGTTGTCTCGAGTGTAATAGATTTGGAGGTTATGTATGGCGTAATCACGTATTTCACCAAGTATTAAAATATTGAGGCTTGAAAGATAGATTATTGAAGAAAGTGCACTTACTTGTGAATTATCATGACGTATATTAATTCTTGGGAAGAATTTGAGAAAGCAGCAGAAATGCTGTACTTACAGGATCCAATGAAGGTAATTTTCAGTGCGCCGTATGGTTCATATACTCAAGAATCGGTTTTGACGGAAGCAAAATAATCCTTTTATAATACTTTTCAGATAAATAACTTATAACTTTCTAAAGTGATTTTCCTTGATTTGTTATTGGAATGTGAATGGGTAAAATACAATTTACTAAAATTTCAAAAAATGAGACCCTTGTGTTGGTGTGTGAAGAATGTTTGGATCTCTTTTGTTTTATCGAATTGAATGTTGTGTGTAAGAGAACCTGCCACATAGCTTGTAAAATATTACACAAAACTTTGTTCCAAATGTTGATGACTAGCCATGATTTCCTCCGATGAATGAACATCAGTTACTTTTAAGTCATTCTTGATGACTTTATTAGTAATAAAAATATGATATTTAGTGCTTTTTTGATCTTTGTTAGATTTGCATCTTTGCATTCAGGTGCTTTTTATTTTATCTGAAATTATTTGCTTTCCAGATTTTCTGAATTTGACAAAAAGATTTGTATTATAAATATTAAATAAGAACATTTGCCATTACAGTCCCTGATTTTAAAAAGATTTGTTACAATTCCACAATTTGTATTAAACACAAAAAACAGTTTTCTATAAACAATTAATATTATTTTCTCTTGTATATTAAATGTATTTTAGTAATTCATCTTCATCTTTCCATTTGAATAGTAAGAGCAGTGAAATATGTAATTGATTTATTAATTTTTTAATTGGAAATTTTCATATAGACAAAGATGTTAAAAATTAATTGTTCTCCTCCCTATGTTGTTGATGTGGGAATAAAAGGGTTCCGGCAAAATGAATCTGTTAAGTCATATTTTTGTCCTTATTTAATATTGTGTTAGGTACTTAATTCACAGGCCCTTAAAAAACACTTCAATCCCTAATGCTGATGATTTGAAGGGTCTGGCAATATCAAAATATTCAGGACTTAGCATACAGAAACAGTTACTCTGTCAGAAAACTGAATGTTTAAGAAATCTGTTTTTCAATGTCAACAGAACTAGTCAGCATTGTATTAGTGTGAAGGTTTTTTAATTATTACATTTTTTATAATTAATTAGAAAATTATTATTCAATTTTTAATTAAGAAAGTATTATGAAGCCAGTTTTGAGAGACTTGTAGATGAACCTAAATTATGGAAGCACATAAAAATGAATAAAATTAGTGAGAAACAAATTAAATGTGTAGAACTTGGTGATGAATATGTATTTAACTCAGATGAGGTGGCGATGAGACTAAATTATTATTTTGTTAGTAGTATATGAGAAATACTGGAAACCATACCTAGTGTTATGAAATGATAAAAAATGTTCAAAATTTTAATTTGAATATGTTCCAAGATTGCAAGGGATTGGAATAATTGTTAAAAACTCAAGAGAGACTAATGGACATGATGGAATTAGTAGTGAATTGATAAAAAAAGAACATGGACAGTAATTGGAAACCAAGTTACTCAAATTGTTAAACAATCACTCAAAGAAAGATACCAAAGGCACTGAAAGTATCAACAATTATTTCTATAGCTAAAGTTAAGGGTAGTGCAAAACGCAATGATGTTAGACCAATAAATACTCTTCCTGTTGTTGAAAAAATCATAGAAATAGTGGTGTATGAAACATTAATGAAATATGTTAGAGGAAACAATTTAAAAGTAAACCAGTCAGGATTTAGAGAGAAGCTTAGTACATAGAGACAGCATTGCAAATGGTAAATGAGAATTAAGGGCTATTGATAGGGGTGATGGAGTAGTGGGAGTCTTCTTGGATTATAGATGGCCATTTGAAACATTTAATAGGGAGTTTCTGTTGAAAACATTGAACGAAATATATAATTTAATTGGTTGTGTGTGCGAATGGTTAAAAGGTTATCTAGAAGATAGGTATCAAAAGGTCAGGTTATCAATAGTGTGACAGATGAAAAACAAGTAATACATAGAGTACCACAAGGGAGTAAATTAGGACCACTACTGTTTATATTATACATAAATGATCTAACAAGAGTGGTAAAGCAATGTAAACTGCATATGTTTGCAGATGACACATTGATTTATCTGCATGGTAATAATGTACAGGTTGTGCTAAATAGATTAAATTTAGAGAATTAACTTTGATAAGTGGATGGTTGAGCATAAATTGTTTGAGTGTTAATATTGGTAAAACAAAGTGTATGGTTTTGGGGCAAGATAAATTTAGGGAAGAAGTAGAATCAAGACAATCAATTGTGCTTAACAGTGTTAATTTGAAGTGGGTTAGGACTTACAAATATCGGGGGGTGATTACAGATAACCATTGAAGTTTTGAAGATCATGTTCAATACATTTACAACAAAATAGCTAAGTTGTAGCTTGTAGCAAATAGCAAAATTGCTAATTTGTTGTATAAATTGAAGAAAGTTATTTCAAGATCAGGAAAGGAATTATTATTTAAACTAATTTTGATGTCCGATGTGTGTTACTGTTCAACTATTCTTACTATAGTAAATAAAAATGAAATTGAAAAGATACAAAACAACTTCAACAAAGGATTGAGAGCTGTTTTGAATAAAATGTATAATGAAAATGTTAGCAATATGCTAAAAGAATTAAGATATTTATCAGTTGAAAAGGAAGTAAAAAGAGATGTACTCTTTAATTATAATATTAGTACTGGTTATTTATAGATTAGAAAAGCAACTATTACCAAAATATTTGGATTGTTTAGTAAGAAAAAAATTATGAAGTTTACGAGACAGGCTAATCAATTCCATATGGAAAATGTGCAAATCAGGAAAGCTCATGGAATAATTTAATAGAGGACCGGCAATGAATAATGAATTACCACAAAAGATAAAGGAATCCGTGTCAGTTGGAGAATTTAGAGAAGAATCAGATGTTTGGTTGGAAAGTATTGAATAGGAAAATTAGTATTAGAATGTTTTCTTTTGTTAAAATATAATAATAATAATAATAATAATAATAATAATAATTATTATTATTATTATTATTATTATTATTATATTATTTTAACAAAAGAATTACATTGGCAGTGTACAAGTGTTACTGTTTACATGTAAAAATTTTAAAACCAAAAACCTCCACCATGAAAACAACAAAACAGGCAGAAAGAATACTAATTTCGTTTGACTACATTCCATTGTTTCTAACCTTTCAGCGAAAATATTTTTCTTATCAAAATTTGTATACACATTACTCTCCAAACTCTTTACGTAATTTTTGTACTTGTCAGAGAGGATGTGTTACTTTATATGCAGTAAACAGTAAATTTGAGGATTTAGTTGTACATGGTTAACAAAATACAATGTTCTAATGACAGTACTAATCAGGCACAGAAAAATCCACATTATCAAATTTTTATTTAAACTAAGTAGTAAATAAATAAAGCAAGATGGTAATTGGCAACAGGAAAAGTGAGACTTGAGTTATACATGATTAACATATTGAAAACTTACAATGACAAAGCTTCAAGCAAACAGAAATCAAATTCGTATCTAAATTAATAATATTCATACTAATAATAATAAAATAATGGTAATAATCATTGTAATAACAATAATAATAATTACCATTGCATAGTTAGGTTGTTAAAGGGCTCTGGTAATAGTTCTAATTGGTTTTTATAAGAAGAAACAATAAAAGAAAGAAAAATTATCATTATTATTATGATTATTATCATTATTATTATTATTGTTGTTGTTGTTGATATTATTATTATTGAGTCACATATACAATTACAATCGTGTATAATGAGTCAATATGATGTCTTGGGTGGGGAGAGCAAGAAGAAGCGAAACAAGGAGCCATCTCAACATGTGCTCAAGGGAACAGGGAAACTGAACAAACAACGTGATCAAGATGGGGGCATTGGCCTAATAATAATAATAATAATAATAATAATAATAATAATAATAATAATAATAATAATAATTAATAAAATAAAAAAATAGTACATGATATCAATTGTGGTAGCAACTATATATAGCTTAACAATTAGTACATTGTCTGTTTAAATCTTCAAATGGTGAGGAGAAGGAGACATGTTTTGACCAGTTCTTTTTTTCTTTTCTATTTGTACACCTAGTCCTACTGCAGCACCTAAAGCATCTAGCAAATCCAGGGTGAAGCAATCAGAAATTTTGGTCAGGCCCTAGCATTTCTAGTTTTGTTAAAAGCATGTGATGGTCAATAATGTCAAAGGCTTTGTGTAACATTAGTCAATTTGTGTAACATTAGTGTTTGGTTGGTGTGTTTTATTGCTTAGAGAGTGTTGAGAGATAAACTTTGTACCAATTTGTGACAAGTGTTCACTGAATACATCAGCTATTTCTTGTGGGTCTTGTAAAGTTTGTTTTTTGTAGTGGAGCTCTATATTATTTTTGCTATTATTAGTTGGTTCTGTAGTCTTTTTAATAATGTCCCTCATTATTATTTACTTGTTAATAATTTATTTTTTATTATTTTGATAATATTGATTTTGTTATTTGAAGAACTTTTATAGAATCATTGCTATAAATTGTATAAATTATATTGTTAATAATCATTAAAACTATGCAGTTAGGCTGCTGAGTTAGTGAAACGTGATATTGACATTTAAATTAGCCACAGACTATTTTTAAATAAATAAATAAAAACAAATAAATTATAAAGGTTGCTAGAACTGGAAAAATTTCCAAATCTTGTTGAACTTGTTGTATTGATGATCTTTCTTTAACCACAATAGAAAAGACGTTGTTGTATAAATTTGTAGGAATTAATAAATTAAATATTTATATAAGAATAACATTATGTGGGGAAGTTTTAAGTGAGGAGACAAATGAGTTGATGAGGGACTGTATGTAAAAGAATTATTTTTGTAATGAAAGTTAATCAGTACCTCGTTACTGTTTGGATAAAAAAAATACTTATCCTTATTACATTTATTACATTCTTCTGGCTTATGAAAGGAGGAAATGAAGAATAGAAAGGACTTCATACAAATATGTAATTTAGAATTCCTTCCATACAGAAATATGTATTTATTACATTCCAGACGTGTTTTCTGCTAATAATTATATTTGTGCTTTCATGAATGCATTATAAATTTATACTTTATTTAGTGAGTACTTGTGTGTCATTTCATGAATTTATTGTTGCAGGTCCGATATACAATGAAGTATCGCCACTGTGAGGGATGTTTATGTTTGAAGCTCACCAATGATAGTGTTGTAAGTAAAATATACATATTTTGATTTTTCTCATATTTCTCTAGAAGAAAGTAAAAGTATTTCTTTTGTTGCAGTGTGTTCAGTACAAAACGGAAATTATTCAAGATCTCAAAAAGATAGAAAAGTTTATAAACAATCTTATGAGACATATGGCTTCTAAGGAACAGTAAGTTTTGCGTATTAGCAAGTGAAATATTTATTTTTTCACATTTATTCCTTCTTAAATCATTTGTAAATTTCTTTTGCCTTTTATGTATCTATCAACATGATCATATCTTTTATCCCAAAGATCTTGCTTTAGTTTTATAATGACTTTTTTAACAACTCTATTTATTCTTGTATATTCCTTCCTAATGTAATTACACAGGCACGCACACACAAAAAAAACTTGTTAGGCCTAAAGACTTGACACATGTTTCTCTACCTATTTCGACACACTGAATTTGAATCTGACGCCAGAATTGCACCACCACCCTCCAATGTTGACTCGTAGAGCCACCATCAAGTCTGTCGACATACATAGAGAAACATATGTCAAGTTTTTAAATCTGATAAGAATCCCCAAAACAACAACAACAACAAAAAACAAAATATGTCATAATGGTTTTTGTGATTCAAGAAACTCAGAGGGTGGTGCCGCTATCCTGTCTTCAGATTCGTATTTAGCACATCAGAATACGTAGAGTAACATGTTTCGAGTATTTGTGTCTCTCAAACTTTCTTTTTTGTGCCTGTTATTAATTTTAAATATTAGACATAATTATTACAAAAAACTATTTACAATAATAAGAAGTAGTAACATTGGAACAGATTTTGTCTAAATTTTCACAATAATACAATAGGTGGTTAGATTGGATTGGTAAGAATTGTCAGAATTTCACCAGTGCTGTAGGTGTTTAGAAAGTATACTTAATTGTGTTTAGGAATAATTTTTGGACATTCAACAACTACATACTTCAAAACATACTGTTTCTGTTTTTCATCTTGAGTTCATGTTCAATTTGTGGTGCATATTACTGATATTTATTACACATACATACATACAATTTAGTAATTTTTACTAGTGGCATCCAGGAGGGGAGGGGCAACTTGCCCCAGGCTCTGTCTTAATCGGGACCCCCAAGAATTTTTTCATTCAAAATGTTTAAAAAAATGTATTTACATTGGATTCACACTGCAATAGTTATCTCTCGTACACGGAGAGACAAATTATATTTTTGAAAGATGGGGATCTCATTGTGTATAGAACCAAACACATTTCATCTATCTTTATTTAATTTACCCCAAATAATATATTTAATAAAAAAAAATAGAAGAAATAAAATAAAGAAAAATAAAGATAGAATCTGAATATTTTAACCATCCTTTTGTCAAAATCAGAAACTTCAGACCCAATGCCCAATTCCTAAAATTTTATTTTCACAAGGATAATCAATTTTTTGGGAAAATTTATTTAAAATTGTTTCTCAACATCAAGTTTATACATTTGAATAGATTTCAGGAGAACTAGTTGTTGTACATCACCCTAAAAAATCACAAACAAATCTTTTTTTCAAAAATTCACGTAAAATTGTATGGAAAGTAATATGTAGAGATAATTTCAATTCTCCAATTAGTCAAGTTTTTCGTATTGTAATATCAATATTATTAATATTGTGTTCAATTAAGAAATGTAACACTCCAATGTTTATTGAAATTATTGTTTTAGAATATTATAAGGGAGATGAATATAATGTTCTTATGTATGAAATTTTCAAAAATATGTGGAGCTGGTTTTGAGAAAAGTTTTTATAGTTGTTTACTTTTTTTATTTCCAAAATATTATTTAGGAGACAGTCATTTTTTAGTTTATTGGTATATTTAATGATTATACAAAGAGAAAAACAATCAGAAGTATCATTTTACATTCATCTGCCATTACATTCTAAAATCTACTTGCAGAATCAATTATAAATAACGAATTAAGATAAAATTGAGTGATGCGTTACTTTCTGAGTCTGTAATTGGGAGTATAGTATTTTTTTTTTTGCTTCTGTGTCTCTCAGAACATTGCATTTCTAGAATATGAAGTATTTCTGCCACTAGAGAGATTAATTCATGATTATTTTTGTTTGGATTGTGCTACTGTCTAAATCCATGAAGCAGTTTTTTATCGCTCCTAAAACCCAGAAGCACATTTGGGACTTGACATCACTGTTTTGGCCTTTTCTTTTTCTTTTTGCTTTTTCTTCTTTTTCTTTTCCTTTTACTTTTTTGTTTCTTTTTCCTAACGATTACTCTAGAAAAATAGTGTCAACAGTCATCTAGAAACAATAGTTAACTGAATTTATACAAAATGTTTTTAGTCATGTGTGATGAGTTAACAAGTTTTCAATTCTATTCCAGTGTTTCTGGCAAGTAAACATGAAGAATTTTGTGAAAATTCATTCACATTGTGTGCATTGGACTAAGTGTGAGTGGCGAAAATAAGAAAATTTCCTTAATGTATGTTATGCAGACAAGCATCTCTAAATGAGGAATGTATTATATTCTTGATGAGAAGGATTTATTTCCTGAACAGTAAAATGAAGAGTTTGAAATAGTGAGAACTATTTATATACTTCTACAGTTTTATTTTTTTTTTTTGTTTAAAAAAGTGTGGTGCTGGGAATCATGTTTGAGCCAACAAGATGTTTAAGTGTATGTGGCACTCATTAGGAATTGTTCTTTTATTAATGATATGTAAGTATGTTTGTTTCCAAATGTAATTATTATAAACCAGGACATTTGAAAATGTCTGTGGAAAAGTAAGTTTGTTTGTGGATATTCGAGATGGATTTTGTTTAATAAAGATTCTTTACAATTGTCACTAAAATATGTGTAATATTTTTTTTTATAGGTTTGTAGTACGTGACTTACCTAATGAAACCAGACAAACCTGACAAACTTTCTTATTCTTAGTGATTCCTATATTGATGGAATAACTTCATACATATGGTCATTGGCTTAGTCACGATTTTTATCAGGTTGGGGTTAGGAGAAATAGAATAATAATAAAAATAAAATAATTAATACAGTAATTGAATAACAATGAATTATAAACTTCAAGGGCTCCCCTTGATAAGATGTTAGAGTTCCCTAATACCTAATGCCATATACGAAGTGACTATGACTAACAAAAAATAACATTTTTGAAAGGTTTCTTAGCCATACACCCTTACCCCCTCCACCCCCAGTTGTTAAAAAAAGCGTGGCTGTAGAAAGGCGGGGATGGGTGGGGGAAGGAAGACTTAAGAAATATTTCAAAAATTTTTATATTATGTGAAGTCATAGTTTAACTACCTATATGTTATTTGTTTCTAGGGAAATTTTTACTAATTTATCTGGGGGTAACCTTGCTAAATTTGATAATTAACTAGTGGTGCTAAAATAGTACATACGTTTTCGTGTTATTTGTAACGTTTGCGATTATCGAAAAACCATCGGACTTGCACATTTTAATAAGGTACTTCACACTAACCAATAAAAAAATAAAGCAAAAAATTAGAGCCGTTTTGGTGAAAATGTTTTTCTGAAATTGCCATAATTCCTGCAAAATTGCGAGAAAATTTCTCACATTGTGAAAAAATGTACTCATTTAAATATCAAACTTTGAAGAACATATTTTATTCAAAAGAAACGAACTCAGTTCTCCGAGTTAGCTCGTGAGCTACACTGCTACGCTGTAAGTTTCGATCTCGGGCCGACTCTTAAAAGAGTAATTATCTCAACCCAGTATTTCCAACAAGCAAGAAATGACTCTAGCATCGTATTTTTTAACCGGCCATTGTTTCACACAAGGAGAAAATTTAATAAAAAAAAAAAAAAATAGGGTGTGGTCCAAAGAATTGTTTTTAAAGAAATTGCATAAATATCCGACAAATTACACAAAATCCGCTCGTTTTTTTCTTTCTAAATATTGTACATGACCTGTTTTAAAGAACTGATTTTTTAGATCTGACTTAGTTCAAGGCATAATTACCTACTTTAAATTTTGTTCAAAAATGTAGTTTTAAAACGTTGACTTTTTATAATTTTTGTGAATTGAAGAGTTCGCGGGAAATGAGACTAGCGCCATATTTTTTACTATCCCTTGATACCTACGAGGAGAAAATTTGGAGAACGTTTTTGAAAAAGAAATTGAAATCGCATACACTTCAGACCCAAATTACGCGAAATTACTCGTTACAAAACATTTTACGTGACTTTTTTAAAGAGCTGATTTTTCAACAGGCTTTGTGTAAGGCAAAAAATCGTTATCTTCAATTTTCTAGTTTTGAACTGTCAACTTTTTGAATTTTTTTTTGAAAATGCGGAGAATTCGTCGAAAATGGGACTAGCACTATATTTTTTACCATCTCTTGATTGAAAAAATTGGACCGGATTTTGAGAAAAAATATTACAAAAATTTAAAAACTTGCCTATATTTCTGGCAAAATTATTTGAAAACTAATATTTTCGAAAAATTAAACATGACCTTATTTCAAGATGTCTTTAAAGAACAGATTTTATTAATGAAAGAAGTATTGTAGTTGTAGGAAGACGCCCCCCAAAAATTGCACTTTTGCAATGTTGCAATTTTTGTAACATCAGGGATTTTAGCAAACAAATGAGGCCTTCGTCGTTTATGCTATGCGATGACAAAGTTAAATAAAAAATCGTGAAATCATTTTTGAGAAATATTGAAGCTTTATCACCTGCCAAAACCAAAATGTCAATTTGAAGCTCCCGAAACCTTGAGTTCGTCCAGACAGGCAGCCACAAGCGCGCCCTTCTAAATAATTACTTAATACTTGCGTCCACCTTCCCCTATTCATTTACAAAAAGTAAAAAATTAACTCTTTCTCTCCTCTCTCTGTATGTACATGAAAACAATTTGTATTAATTTTATTGTGTTTTGTTAAAATTAATGATAATTAGTCACAATTAATTGGCGACCTGACTGCACTTAATAATAAGATTGGAGGACAATTTTTACATGAAGTAAGAAAGGAAGGAAGCATTGGCAAGAAAATTTCTGACTAGTGTCATGACTACTGTCACTAGACACACGTCATGGAGGGCACATGTGCGAGAATCTAGTGTATGATATTGTTTTCTTGAATATGATATAGATCAGTTTCGAATATTTTCTTCGTAATCTTTAGATTCA